GTCTTCAGTTGTCATCCATAAAAAATGGCAATAGTTAAAACTGCTTGGATTGTTATTTTCTTATTCCACGAACTCAGTTATATAAATTTTATCAGAAGGGATTTTGTGGAGATTTTAGAAATTTCAATAGTTGAAATCATGAGTCAATTGAAGCTAGACCAACATGGAAAATCTGGAAGCACTGGATGGCCGTTTCGTTCTAATATGGGACTCCTGAGCAGTGCACATCCACGATCCCGCTCTTCACGAGATTCGAATCCAGGACCTATCAGTCTTGCGCGCGAGCACTTAACCATTGGACCACTGAGCCGGCATCCAACGGTGTTAATGCTTAACTTCATTCGATCCACGAAATTGCGCCACCGTACACCATTGTCTTCAGTGGGCTGACATCTCACAACAGATCTGGTTGAACTACACTGGTAACGACTTCTCACTAGAACTCCGGGAAATGCCTCTTGAAGTCATTCAGTAGTGAGCAGATGATTATTACAAGTGTAGTTCAAACAAGTCCACAAAATCCCTTCCGATAAAATTTAGATAATTGAGTTCGTGGAATAAGAAAATAACAATCCATTTTATATGATAAACTTTATAGACTTAGGCAGGAAATTGCAAAATAGACGGACTGTACAGTAGATGTTAAAATCTCACAAATATATAATGCATAGATTGGATACTTCATAAATGATCATGATTTAAAAGATTTGAATTCATAATGATTTACTGTATACGAAAAAAACGTTTACTTAAATTCCAGATTCTAAACTCAACAATTATTATGGATTAATAGCATTTGAAACCTCTTTATACTAACAAATCATTCTGTTATTTAATGGGACAACCCGATATTTCACATAAGGACTGATTCAAAATTTCTGATACTCAAAACCACTGAACATTATAAGTAATCTATACTTACGCCTGTAGTAATGAATTGATAAGAGACTAGAAAAGAATACATTCATTTTTTATGGGTCTCATTTTAAACGACACAAACTCACTTACTGTCCCTGACTGTAGAAACGTGAATACGCATTATATTTAACAGTTCTTTTGTATGATTCTGATGAAACCACACACTCATTAGAAGTTGATTTAGCATCAAATCCTCAATTAAATGAACATTTCAGTTTACACATACATTTAGCTCTCTAAAGATCCTGTTGAGTTGTTTATACATATTTTTTAAACTTGAACTTTTCTAACACTGTTTCTAATTGTTTATAAAACTGACTATAATAAACACTAAAATGTGATTAGGAAATAATTTACCTAACATCAATGTTTAAAACATCGACCTGATAACTTTCCGGTTACTATTCATAGTACCTTTCATGTTTAATAATTACTTCAATCCATCTCTCAGTTGCTTATTTCAGTTCCCTTGATAGTAACTTTTAAAGATAAAAATATATAATAGCTACTTCCAAATGAAAACAATCAGTCAGATTTAATTAATTTGATTCATTCAAGTTTTACTTTTTAGTAAAATTATACTGCCTAAATGATTTAATTCAGAGTTACATCGAAAAACTGTCCGGTTCGAATGTGTGTGTATGGATTTTGTGTATTTTTGTGCTTGTTATTTTTGTTTCTACCTTATCTATATTATTTGGTTAGTTAACTGATTAAGAGCGTTCCTAGCTAAGCACAGTAATATTAGAGAGTATTACTTACCCTACGTATACACCTGTAAAAAATGTTAGTATGTATTTATGTCTCCAAAGCTAAGGTGATCAAGCTGTTGATGAAGGTAACCATCATCACAATAATAGGAATAATGCTTCTATTCAACGATAAAAATACTAAAGATTATTTAGACAGAAACAAAACAACAATAATTAATATTGTTTTGCGTAAAGAGATAAAAGAAATTTGATTAAACCTATCTGTAAGAACTTATTGTCAGATTTGATTAACTATATGATTTATCAAATGTTTTAAAAAACAGTATCTTCCAACTATCGTTTTTTCTCTCTTTCTAATAAATCTTATTTTGCTATTAGTAGCGGATGCAATGGTAGTAGAACTAGTAATATTTCAAGTGATAGATAGATATTGTAATATGGGTGAGACATAGATCCGTTAACTGTATTTCCCAAAAATTATGTCTAAGCCATGAAGTTCATCTTTGTGATATTGTAGGCTCGGATATAAGTACTTTTCACAATCTTGTCACGTCCTGTGAACAATACAAAGAAAAATTCTATAAGTATTATTAGAATGTGGTTTCGTGGAGATTTTCGTAATTTTTAGTAGTTGCAATTATGAAACTACTTAAGCTAGATCACTATTGAAATCCTGGAAGAACTGGGCAACCGTTTCGTCTTAGTGTGACACACCTCGGCAGTGCGCATCCACGATCCCGCATGCGGGACTCAGTCCCAGGGCCGGTAGAGTATAATCCGTGTTGGATAGAGACAGGTATTTACCTCAAATAATGGATGAGTGGTTGAGTGAGACCATGAAACAATTGAAGTCGGACGCTAACACCGTTGGATGCCAGCTTAGTGGTCTAGATACTAAGTGTTCGAGCGCGAGGCGGAAGGTCCTGTGTTCGAGTCCGGATGCGAGATCGTGAACTCGCACTGCTTTAGAGTCCAAAACTAGGAAGAAATGTCATCAAGAAATAGAATAAACGTTTTAGCACAGCAAAATTTTGATATTGAAAGTTGCGCAATAGTAATATTTAATGTAATAAATAAGTCATATTAAAGTACATTTTCAATGTGAACGAATCACTAAGCGGACTCGTTAAACATGTACATATATAGACGACTGAAAGTCAAAAGTTTGATACAAATTGAAGGATAATGTTGTGATTTCTTAAGTAGATCAATGAGAACAGAATTTGACCAAACTTAACAAATAATAGTGATCCAGACAAAATTAATGAATTTAATGCATGTTAGTGAAATATATTCATGAAAATAAAAATAAAAATGGAAAAGGATCAGATTAAATATAAGCTAGAGATTCAGATGAAATATAGTAGAATGTGTAAGGAAACTATGGTGACTTTAATTTAAAGACTAGTATAAACTTCCTCTTTAAACTAAAATCTAGCTTGTTCAACACAAAAGTATGTTAGTACAAATTTTGATTGATTTGTTTTGATCTTTGCAATAGTTTTAGAGCGATGACTTCGACATTGTATTGTTTAGTTATAAAAGAGAACAATGAACAAAAAAACTAGAACTATTGAATGCATTTTAAACATTAAAAAATAATTGAGACTTACGGATAACAGAATAGTTTTTATCTCCATAGTCGATGAGACATTTTATATATTAGATAAGGACATGTATCTGATAGGAAAATTCATAGAACATTTTGATATATTATGAATGTTATATATACAAACAGATAATTTCCTAAATACATTTATATATTATAAAGTCAATCGATAGAGAAAGTAAATAGACTGTCACTGCTTTTAATAATTCATGTAACTGTGCCGGGACATTATAAATTGACCTTATTATGAGAATATTAAGTGGATAAATATGTCTTATAAATTAGGTGATTAGATCAAATTTCAATTATACGAAAGTTGTATAAGAAGAGTGAACTCAATAATACAAATAAATCAACATGCATTACCTCGTAATATCTTCATCTAGTATTTGACTTCCTCTAGTGACTAATCATGCATCGTATAAATTTGTGAAAGCTAATACTCAACATGACTTAATTTTAAGATGAATCTTTGTATAAAATATATCAGTGAAATATCAGTAAGTTATACTCACTCTTATATAGCAAAGAATCTGGTTATGTTATTCTCCTCCAAATATATTTAGTATTCTCTATCCATAAATCAAATTTAACTAACAAAAATGTGAAACTGGCTTTGATTTATTGATGTGTTAATGTCAAGAAGAAAATATATACCAATATTAAATGTAAGGTTTTATATGAGACATAACTAGTCAATCAAAATATTTAATACCAGATTTTTGTCTCACCTTCACTGGAGGCTATGGATTCAGTAACTAAAATCAATACACTTTATGACATAATGACATTGTACAGTGGATATTATGAGATATGGGTGAAGCAGACGTGATCACTACTGTAAAAGTTGATGCAGACTTATTTAAAAGTTAGAACCATCAAGCTAAGCATATTTTGCTTTAGTATTTGTTGATAATGTTATCTTTGAACTGATAAAAATCCAACCCGAAAAACATACAAACGAAAAACATTTGGTGTGACATTAAATTTCAATTTGACACCCATAATTGACACTGTAAGGTATTAGGTTTTCTAATTCCATAAAATACGATCTGCATCAACAATAATCATCTATTCTCTTTTTTATACGATTAATCAAACCATTTGAAATAATTGATATCGCAGCCACAGATATCCTTCACTTATTTTCACAGTGAGAATACTTTTACTCAGGGAAATTTGGAATTATGCTTCGCTCTATAATTTCGCATTCAACTAATGCATTCGAAACGATATACTTTGACTTGTAGATTTCTATAAATTGCGTATTACAAATATCAAATTTCTATCTTAACAATTTGAGTCTTTAGCAGCAAGTAAATTGGTGATAATAAAAAAAGAAACGTCACTTTATAATCACGGTGTTAATTTTCAGATTTTTGTTGATACAAAAGAATTTTTAATGGAGTTTTGTTCTCTGAGCTGGATGGTTTGATTGTGGAGCTTTCATCGTTCTTTTGAACGACATCATCAACACGACCAAACCATCCAGCTCCGGGAACAATACTCCATCAAAATCATCCACCTGAACTACAAATCTTCTCCACCATGCAAAAGAATAAATGAAATCAGTCAATGTTTATTCAGATGACTTCAATCAATTTACAAGAATGAAGGCGCTTTAATTCACTGATTATTATCAATTATATACTACTAATGTTACAAATTTAGTAAGAAATCTATTACTGAATAAATTATTTATTGATTAAATTTAGTAAAAATTATAAGATGTTTGTTTATATGTGTTTTGTGTTTTTCAGATTCTTTTAGGCGACCTTGTGTGCAGTACAATTTTATCCCCATACAATACTACATTTTGTAATAGTTTTACACAAGAACCAAAACTTATTGCACAAATAGTTGGCAATAATTTTCATTTAGTACATGCTAGCTTATATTTACCAATATATTTAGAACCACCTATTTTTACCGATTTCCCAGAAATGATAAAATCAAATAATGAACAAATGAAACATAATCAACTTTTACATTCATCGTTCAATGGTTACTCATCAACAAATGCTAACTTACAATCTAATATAATTTCACCGGCAGAAGTATCAACTATCAATGTATCATCAAGAAAAGTGGTAAGTTAAGAGAGTTATATCTATTCCTATATTTTGTGAATTGTAACAAAGGGGAAAAATCTAAATCTTAGTTTTAATCAGTCAATAATATACCTTTTTTTCTTTCTTTTTTTCTGTGAGAAATATCAATCACGCTAGCATACAGCAAACCTTTATTATTATTATTATTATTATTTAAATCCGAAAACATTTTTCTCTATAAAAAACTAACTATTTTTCTATATTAAGAAGCATGCAAAGTGTCTTATAGATAGTTGGGAAAAAAGGCAGTTTACATAACACTTTATACTGACTTTATAAAGAAAATGATTTCCTGAGTTTTTGAATAAAACAAATATTGTTCTATATCATAACAGGTACTGAAGAGACTTGTCAAGAAGCAAGTAATATGTGAGAATGATTAATTCAAAGGAAGTATGGCAATAAAAGTATTTACCAAATAAAAGATATTTTCTTTCTTTCTTTCTACTTTCAACCTTTTTATCAGATAAAATTTGTTCTTATATAAATTACTATATTGAAAATCATCTACAAAATAAATTTTTCCAACTACAAAAAGCATTACATTAGACAAAGTGAGTGCCTACCTTCATCTTGGCCTATAGAAACATCAATTAGCAGTCAAAAATCATGACATATTCTTGCTTATATCAATGCATGTGTAAAACTGAGAACACATATTTGACTGAAAAAAAGGTTGACATCTTGGATAGAGGGAGTACAAAGAACATCAGGGAAGCTTTAGAAGCTTGACACTCAGGTAAATCAGCAATCAATAAACATATTGACATAGATTCAATCTATCAATCAGTCAGAAAAATCATGGACAAATATAGGACCAAGAATTAAATCAATGGGAAATACAGTCAAAATAAAGTGGCAATAACAAGTCAAAGATCAACAATAATTAGTCAAGATTGAAGTCGACAGGAAAAGGTGTGAGTCGTATATAGAGAAATCCAAATACTTCACCTCTGCCCGACAGTGTTGTTCAGAAGAACAATGAATGCTCCACGATCAAACTTACCAGCTCAGATAACAAAACTCTACCTAAATCACTATATTTCTTTTTATATTGACTTAGTTATATTTATTCATATACTTTAGTTTAGCGATCAGATTGATTAAATCTCTGAATAGAATGATATAATATGTCTCAAAAGAAAACACGGAATTAGAATGTTTTGTTATAGTTATTGACAATAATCATTGTATTTTATAAATTCAGAACAACAGAGGTTTCTAGATGAAAAGAATAATGAATGAAAACTCAAAGTGAATAAACACTAATGACGTATACTGATACCTAATTTCTACGAAATAACCTTTTATTGACTAAGGTAGAAATCGAGAGTATTTAAAATTACCGAAATAACAAAAACTTTTTCAAGATTTTGTTGAATATACGTTTTACTTCGCCAACATTTAGGTAATTGTCAACAGTTATATAAGAGAAAATGTTCTCTACTACAATCATCCTCGATGAAAATATTCATGGCAAAACATCTGTCTAGTGAAATATTAATATTACTCCAACAGAAATGGTCAGTTACCTAGAAGGAGATATTTATTGATTGTTCTGATTTCAACAGAAAATTTTTTCCTGTATTTACCATATTTTACAAATTTCTGGTGAAGAAATTCTACGCTTCTTGGCAATATGGCTTCTCATTTACTTTTTATAACAAATAATATCTAATGAATAGAATATTGTTAATTGTTAGATAATCAAAAGTATTTAAATAGAGCAAGAACAAAGATTGGTGCAGAGTAATATGAATTCACTTTATTTCGTTAGGTTCTCATCAGCTGCTTAAAACCTAAAATATTTGAAAATCAACGTTATTACAGATATTGACATATTTATACATAAGAGTGTGATTAAGGATCAATACATGTGTATGATGATGTAGCGAAGATTCAGATAGAGTTAATGAGCTCATAAAATGTTTGATTCGAATAAATAAATAAAGTTAGAGAGGGAAAGTTCCAGAACATTGAAATAGTGATTAGAACTCATGAAAATAGATTAATGGTAATAAAGAAAATATGAATTGAAATCAATCATTTATGTATAATGTAATTTTAACTTCAGAAAGAGTTGCAATAATGACGCAATAAATAAATAAATAGGAGCAAATGAATAGAAAGGTTGGGGGTTATTGTTACCAGGGTAAAGAAAGATTTATTACTGTCTCTTTTTGTATACATAGATCTGGTTTTAAACGTTTGATTGCTAACGCTTCAGCGAATTTCAAAAGGTTCGAGTTTGATTGTTTGTTAATCACCTTGAAGGACTTCAGTATATCAACTTCATGTCCTGTATCAAGTAGATGTCTTGCGATACCACTATTGAACGCGTTTAATCCATTTAACCTTAAACTTTTCGGAATATGTTCTTTGAATCGGACGTAGGCCCTTCTTTCTGTTCTACCAATGTAACTGCTTTGGCAGGTACATGTAAATTTGTATACACATTTGGTAGCAAAATAAAAGGGATACCTGTCAACCTTTGATTGTGTCAAAGAACATGTTGTTTTGGACAGGACAATCAATTTCGCTGCAGGATAAGTTCTTGTCAGTGCAGTTTTTAGTCTCATATTGATTGATCCTGTGACATCGTCACCTTTGAATGGAAGTTGAATAAAAATAGACTTTTTATTTGCTGTAATTTCTTTCGGTTTTTTATCTTCACATTTTCCGTATTTCTCAATAAATTTCAGTGGGTATCCGTTATTCTTTAAACATTTCTTAACATTCATAACTTCCTCTTCTAGTGTATCGGAAGTACATATTCTTTCTGTTCTGTGAAACAGTGTTTTGACCAATGCCTTTTTGTAACTGATTGGACAAAAGCTATTGAAATTAAGATAACTACCATTCCATGTGACTTTCATTGCGATATCGAGAAAATGGAACTTGTTTTCTTTTTCATGTTCCATAGTGAAATGGATATTCGGATGTGCTTCGTTGAAAAACTCCAGCAGATTTATTGCATGTTGTTTATTATTACATACGATGAAGGTATCATCAACATACTTCGAATAATACGTCATTTCATCAATCGCTCGTTTGAGTTTGGTTCTTTCGAGGTTAGCCATGAAAATATCTGCTAGGACAGGACCTAACGGACTTCCCATCGCTACACCGATATTATAACATTCTTCTTCGAAACACAAAAACTATGTGGTTGTTTTGTTCTCTACTACAATGATTCGGTTGCTGTGTAAGCTATAAACGATTATCAAAATATACTGTGTAGTGTTTCGTTTCATACAAACGTTTACTTACAATTACCAGAACCTTTCAAAACCATACAATTTTCGAAGAAAACTGTGGATTAACTACTTTACTATTATTATCTGACTAAAGCATTGCTGAATGTTGATTACAACTGTTAAAAATTTATGTTTATGTAGTAAAAGTTTAGGTAAATAATCAGATGTAAACGTTCGTAATGCAGAAATTTACTAATATATTCCAGTTAATGCTGTTTGGTCTATTGTTATTGTCATCATATTTAAGATCTAAATAATACATAGATGAAACTTTGGTAAACAATGAAGTAAACAGCACCCATCTTGAAGTAACCTGAAGTCAAAGAATTGTTTATTATATAAGTTGGATTGATATTTCAGTCATTAAGTTTATGATTTTCAAAAAATTGAATTGTTTAGAGAAAAAGAAAATCTTGATAACGTATGTTACAACGATTTTGGTAAAGTATTGTTCTAAGTAAAGTTTTAGTATTTATCAGAATAAAAAAGACTGAAAATAAAGTTGTAGATAACTGCGCAAATCAGACTATTTTTAGAATAAGCTTATAACACGAAAGTGAATTGTGGTTAACTACTATTTAGAATTTCAATAAGATGGATGTTTCATTATGAAGTAAAATGAATTCACTTTTGCATTAGTTATTTGAATGCAACTGTACTCAGCTGAAGAGTCCTAAATAGGACGAAACGTGCATCTTGAATTCCAATGCTAATCACCACTCATCTCTGCTTATTATGATTACACGGGATAATATTTCTAGAAATTTATTTAAATGGAACTTAATTAGTTGTGATATAAATAAAACAACCAGAAAGAAATTTATTTTTTTCAAAGTTAAACAATTTAAAGTAAAATGATACATCATTTTTATTATTAGTAAAATGTTAAGATAACTAATCAGAAACAAAGCTGATATCAGAAGGATAATCAGTCACTAACGGGGAAACAAGAATGTTTATATGAAAACTATTTTAATTAAATAGTCTATACAAAAATATGGAAAATTTAAAAACTAATTATACTTGAATCTAACTCATTAATTATTATATATCCATATTATAACAGAAATTAGTTTAGATTAACAATCCTGTAGGTAAATATATACATTCTGTTTGATTTTAGCCTTAGTATTTTTAAATAACAAACGACAAACGAAAATAGACTTCACTCATAGTAATAAATAGGTTTGAATGATATTTATATTGTTTCTGGAGTACAGAAATAAGCTTCAGATATAAGTTCATATATTTTCTTGCTTATATGATTGGACTGGTCGAAAGAAAATATCATTGGGTAAGGGATATACAGTCATACAATTCATTATATATTTAATATAAAACAGAACAATATATGTTTTAACCCAGGTATTTCAGTTTATTGCTTCTGAGATTTGAAAATGAGGATACAACTATTAGTCTTTTACATAGGTATTTACTTCTGTCAATATTCAAAAATTACTTATTGTATGTTAATTGTCAAAACTCTCTTATGTGAACATAAACATAGAATTTATCTTAACTTTGTCAAAATAAGGCTTAGTAATCCTACTTGATTGTAAAACGTTATGTTAGCTGATTCATTCAAAATACGATTAGGTGAAAGTACACATCTGATGATCCTCTTTCCGAAGAAATGTCTCATAAAAACTTTACTATGTCTCTGTAGTGTTCTGATGTTAACATATAGATATAATAAATTAAATCCAATTTTATCGTATTTAACATTGAAATTCATCTGAAAATATACCTTTCATTTTTAGTTATAAGCTGAAACCTAAAATGTGCTATATCTAAAAAGAAGTCTAAAGAACACCTAATATCTGTAGCTGTTATTGTTGAAAGTTAAATCCTCAGAACTCACTTGGAAAAGGACCTAATTTTGTAATTTTATTAAGAAAATTTGAATTTCTTTGTTTTCGCGCCAAAGGCGCTCTTGTCACCTTTATGTCGTATTTCCCACTGGGAAATATCTTAAATAAAATTGATCCGTTTTGTCTTTTAGTATGCTATTTGGTAACTCTCCCCAAGGACGGTTTTGTACTTTATATATACGTTTTGAATTGTGTTTGTTCGTTTCTGGCTGTTTGCAGAATAAACTTCCCATTCCAAGTTTGGACTTCTCCTTCTAGTTAGCGGGGCTGGGACGCATCAGTAGCTAGCTTACTGGTCTTTGGTCACCGAGTCTTGTTTCTCGTTCGCAGATTAAGTGAATTCGTGATAGCATCGATCTTAGCAGTTATACATTTAAATGTTTAAGTGAAATATTATGAATTATTAAGCATATACAAAAGAACTTTATGTTATCTGGTATACCTTTTAAATTTCAGTCATCTAGTCCGAATTGCGTTTCAAGTCATGTACCAAGAGCTATGTTTAACAACTTTTACGGGACAAATTCAAATAACCAACATAATTCTAAAATTACTCCAATAAATAATGAAAAAGAACAAAATAACAACGAAGTTACGGAAGTGAATGAGTTCATCAGTGTAAATGATATTGCAAGTAGGTTTTTACATAATCATGAACTAGCTGATTGGAATGGGAAAGTTATCAAACAATTGGTGTTGTCTACAGCATTTACATGTAAGTTAATTCATAATTCAATACCTATAGTCACAAATTAAATTCAAGATAAAATATGAAATGTATACACATGATTCAATTGATATAACTAACTCGATATTGTTGTAAATGAATACATTTTATGATATTGTTGCCCAACAATGTTAATTTTAAATATTTAAGTAGTATATATTTTATTGGAAAATTAAAAGTCAGTATTCACAAAATCTTATTTAATTTTTCGTCTCAAATTTGAAGATTTCTCACTATTGTGACAATACATAATTACGATCAGTATGTTAGTAAAAAACATTTATAACAGTGAAATGACTTTCAATCAATTCACTTGACATTGTTTGGCTTGTATCTTCCCATTGAGGTTTAAGACTGCAATGGATCAGTCTGTTATTGGCATATGTGCATACTGTGCGTATGCCTCGATATTGCCTTGATTCACAAGCTATTTGTAAGCAATGATGGATAGTGGCTAGCAGTAGAATACAGAACGCGCGTTTCGTCCTATTTGGGACTCGTCAGCTGGATGTACCTGCATCTCGGAGTTGGTGTTCACTCTGGGACTCGAACCCAGTACATTATGTAATAAAGATTATTTGACAAAATCAAATTGTTTTGAAGTACTGCAGGCTATATAGATACAAATTTGTGAATATCGTGTAAACAAAATAGGCAATCAAAGGCATCTTAATAAACATCAATGTTATACTTCAAAAATAAAGGGTGAAATATCGAATTTTAACTCTATCAACGAACATACATTGGAACTCCTTTCAAGTTAGGTAATTATATCATATCCAAAAAATGATGTAGCTTTTTTATATGAATATAAGATAAACTAATATATGACGTTTATTTAGCTAATATTATGTTAATTAACATGAAGGTAATGATATTAAAATGAACTTTAAATGAAAATCAGGAGATATTCGATAGATCTATTGAGCAGACGAAACAAGAAAATAACTCATTTTTAATTATTAGGACAATGAGAAAAGATTGTTATTCACTATAAATTAATTAACATATTTGTAGTATCCCAATGAGTAGAAAAATCAGATTTCCTGATGTTTCGTAACTTAGTATATGTCAATTCTTCAGACTATATATCACCAAATAAAAATTAATCCAAGTTTAAATAGTACAAAGGAACAATGGAAGAATTATTATTATTATTAATGGCTTTATTCAATATTATATTTTGGTACAATATAGAATTCTCAGCACAAGGTATTTCAACAAGTTTCTTTTACAAAATAGAAAGGAGAAAGGTTGAAAAAACTGAAAAGTTGTACAACTTTTAAAATTAAGGACATGTTAGGAATGAAGGTTATTGACTAGGTTAACTCTAAAAACTTGTTCGTCACAGAATATATTTACTAGGTAAGGTATTATAGAACTTCTATACTTTTGCTTGTGTGCTTGCATTTTAATGTGATTACGTCTCGTTCTACCAGAAGACATACAAAAAGAAAGATATTAGTGAAGGGGATGGTTAGTATCTGACAACACTTGCCACAAATATATTAACTATGACCTCAAAATATTCGCCACACACCTTGCTAACCGCCTTTCACACTCTCCGAAATACAGCAAAAACTTTTCTCAAAAGCCCTGGAAAGGATAATGGAGAACATTAAAGAATAATGGGTAATATGCGGGACTTGACAAATTGTAAAAGTAAATGACGAGTAATCCAAAGACCATGCAGTCTTTTTACGTATTAAGTCAGACGGAAAACTTTCTTCGATAACAGTAAAACATGAGAAGACTAAAGGAGATCAGAGGAAAAGTTAACACCAAGATAATTGACCTTCGACACTGTGTTTATCAAAGAGTCTTCAATGGCACAAGCATTATGGGATCTCAAAATGGTGTTTAGGTCCCGTTCATGTCTCATGCTAAAGTCAACAGCTTGACATTTAGACGGATTAGGTATGAGACCATTAACAATAGACCAACAATCAATACGAGACAAAACTTCATTCATTTCTATGGGACGTAAAGAGGTAGAGGTCGGCATGCATGCAGTGAGATCATCCGCATATTTCACAACAGTGTTTTCTGTGGAAGATGGCAGATCATGCAGAAAAAAAGGAGAAAAGAAGAGATGAAAAAACGGCTCCTTTTGGTACATCTTCATGAGACAGTAGAGACTCTGAACAATTTCCTCCAAACACATTGTATTGTTCTCTTCCACAGAGGTGGGAACATAGCTAGTTGGTTATCCAGCTGTCAGTGTTGACGCTGAATAACTTGTTAAGTAGATGTTGTTATGGTATAGAATCAAAAGCTAAAGTCTAGTTCAGAAAAGCACATCGAACATACTTCTTACCGTTTTACAAGTTGAACACTATATATTCTCTGAAGAAGTGTCTTACACTGAGTCACAAAACATCATAAAATCTCATTTTTCCACTCATTAAGATATTAAAAATATATTATTTTTGTTTATAACAATCTATGCAAAGCTCAATTTATTCGAAATTATCAACTCAAAACTTGGTAATGATACTTGTAAATTGTTATGAATTGTTCACAGAAATAGTTGCTAAATATTTATTTATATTCATGAAAACAAAAAACAATGAAAAATATTCGAATGCCAAAAAAACATTGTACAAGTCACATCATTAGTGTTATTGAAAAAAAGAAACGTTTTCTCTTAGTTCCGAAAATAACTAAAATGTTAACACAAATTGTAACGTTGTTCAAGTTGGAAAAAAAGAACAAAAAAACATTTCCTCCCCCCCCCACACACGCACACACAAACATACTAATTTTACGAGTTTTCATATTGATATATTTATTATTTATAATTATTAGATATATATAAATATAAAAATAATAATGTCTTATGCAATACACTTATCAACTGTTGTATTACAAAATAAGTACATATTTGAATGTAACAAGTTTCTACGTAACTGTTTTCATTATTTAAAATAATAAGAAAACATAATGATAAATTTATTATGATACATTTTCATTAAGTAGAAAATAATAGTACTTTTGTTTTAATAAGATTCCAAAGAATTGTGCCATTTTGAATGTACAATTCATAGAGAATATGCCAGCATTAATGTTCTAGTGCATTTCATACACATAGTTCCCTTTATTATCATAAAGAGAGCAAGAACAAAGATTGCTGCACCAATCTTTGTTCTTGCTCTCTTTTAGTACATTATTATATTCAAATATAAAACAATCTGATTGCTTTATGAATCTTATTTTGTATGTTAAGTTAAAATAAATTAAGAATAGTTTACCGGGAAATACAATTTCTTTTAAAGAAATAAGACAGTTATGTCATACTCTGAGTGGAATGATTTCATTCTTAAATACAAGCACTTTTACGGGTCTTTAGTTTTGTCTTTTTAATCATTTCGACTAACTGTCTTTAAATTTAGATAAACTCATGTTTTTTGTATATCTCAAAAGTATCACATCACGTCATTTACATGGTATATGTAAGAGGAACGACTTTAATTAGGGTGGTCGGAAACTTACACTTGAAAAGCTTTCAATAGTGTTTTTAGCATACAACTATTGTGGTCGGATTGTATCCTCAGGAGAGTAAAGCTTCCTTGGTGCCTTGTTGGTAATTTATTTAGAAAGGTGAATAGTTTTATTCAATCTCAAAATAAACATTCAGCACTTTGTCAAATATTTACGAAAATCACCATAATGGTCTCCTCTATATGCCTATTAAAAATTAAAATCATAACTATGAATTTTAAAATCTTATTACTTTCTTTCAAAATAAATATACTTCAGATCGTCTATTGAAACTGTACAATATGAATATTGAAATTGGACTAGTAGTCTTATGGATAACGCTTATTCATCATTGGCCATATCATACAACTTGGTTAATAATTTATCTAGAAGATTTGAATGCTTCAAATTCAATAAATTCCAACAAACAACAAAATCTTGAAGTCAAAATTAACCTAATGGAGGCTTTTCTCGAGGTATTTTCATGGTATTTATTTCTAATATGTTTGATGTATATATTTAATTATTTTAAATCCATGCTAGAAACATTGCACTTTAATTAAAAGTGACCAAAATTAGTGATGATATACAGATTTAAATGTATATCTGGATGAGAATTCGACTATACTCACTATTTGCTAATAACTAACATAGTGAACTGTAATTGGGACCTAATTAAAGTTATTACAGTTTCTAATTACTAATGTAACAATGAATTATTGAAACATGATAAAGGATGAAATCACGAGTATTAAGAATATTCTGAATGGTTATTCTTTTAATGCATAGTAAATTTACCTATTTACTATCGAAATGTACATTCTAATTAAATCAATGTAAAAGCCTCAGTTTATGTGAGTGAGTGAAATAAAACAGGTTTCGGTAGACTGAATTTGATTTCATAATATACATTTACTTAAATTATAAAAATTTATTAATCTGATCACAAAAATCATTTGTAACAAACGATTCTCCGTTTTGTTAAGGAGTAAGTGTACATAATCGACTGGAACATAGTAAATTTGAAATATATGTACTGGGTATTGTAGACCACATATACACATGGAAAAATATCATAATAGTAAAATTCTCAGCTACCGGAATTAAATGACTTCAACGTTTTGTTCCACTTTTGGGTCTGAACTATAAATTATCTAAATAAAGTCACAAAAATAAATCGCACCAAGCAATTATCCGATCATGGTAAAGTTACTTATCGTGTAAATTTGAGTGGTTCTGGTGTGAGATGTATCGAATTGTGATATCTGATAGCATATATGTACACATTATTCTTACCTTAATTCAGTGATGCTCTGTGCTCTTAGATAATGGATATAATCTGACTATTCACTAGGTGGTGTATGCTACTTTTGTTGACAAATGTAAGTAGTATGTAACAACAGTCGGAAGTGGAACGCCTATCAGAAGAATGTTGAGAATATTGAAATGGAGAAAACAGGAAAGGAAACATAAAAGAATTGAGAATTAGAAAAATTTATGGAGGATGATCAAGTATTATTCATTTGAATGTCACAATATTTGTAAACAGAAAACTAAATATTTATTCACATATACAATGATAAAATATTCCCAAACATTTAAAGTAATATAAAACTTAACTGAACTAAACAATCTCTTCGATACCTTGCTTTTAAACAAATCTAAAACAACAACAAATTATGTTTTTCTCTTCTGTTTATCTGTTAATCAATAATTGTCAGAATGCAGTTGATTCAATTCCATTTCATTGATTGAATTTATTATGGTTTAATCATAAATAATCATATATCATAGCAGGATTGATATAGAAATAACTGACACTTTTTGCTATATTGCAGTTTGAATGAATATCACATATGCAATTCATCATTTAAAGATGACTACACAATGATCTATTATTCAATACACTTGATTTGTGTTGATTAACAGTGTAGTTCTTAAAAAAATTTACCATTAACTTAGATAAGTTATATTTTCACATGAATAAAATTGACCCAAAAATATGACTTCTGTTACTGTAGTAGTATAAATCAATGAAGCCTTTGAATAATTCAATCAAACGTTAATGTAATCAACAAATAACTTCGAGTTATAGAAGGCTTAGAGATTTGATGGAACTAAGTTGATGAATTTCACTATAATAACCAACAATATAAACTAGAAAGGGGTTTTATGGAGATTGTAGTAATTTAATAGTTGAATTCATGAATCAATTAAAGGTAGACAACCATGGAAAACCAAGAAGCATTGGACGGCCATTTTGTCCTAATATCAAACTCCTTAGCAGTGTGCATCCACGATCCCACTGGTGGGATTCGAAGCGAGGATCTTCGATCTAGCACACGAACGATTAATCTCTAGACCAATGAGCCCACTTTCACCGGTATTGATATCTAAATTCAACTAATCCACGAAACTGAGTGACACATCCATCATTATTTTCAGTGAGTCACTGTCTCACAACACACATAGTTGAACTTCACTGGTCACGGCTTCTTATCAAAACTCCAGAAAATACTTCTTGAAGCCAGTCGCTAGTGGGCACCTGATGATTATTATTGACTATTAAATAGAATAAATGTTTGTCTAGTTTTTTTATAAATGAAATAACATTTTATAGACATGTAATTTTGTACTTAATCTGTTAAGTAAAAGATAAATAATGATTTATTTGAAATATTCTTAATTTCAAGTAACAATAATATTGACATAAAAAATTTCTAATTTTTTTTGAAATTATCACTTTTTTGGACTATTGTGTTAATTATAAGCAAAGATGGATAATGGCTAGCAGTCGAATCGTCCTATTTGAGATTCGTCAGCTGGATGTACCTGCATTTCAGAGTTGACGTTCACTTTGGGACTTGAACCCATTAACTTCCACTTCAAACGTCAATGCGTTATCCATCTTTGCTTATAATGCTTGTGAATTAAAACAATATCGAGGCAATATGCATAGTATTCACATATGCCAATAACAGACTGATCAATTAAAGTATTAAAAATTAATGGGAAAATCCAAGTAAACAATGCCATGTGAATTTATTATACTAATTGCTTCCATTAATTTCATACTAATTCTAAATGAATTAAATCAACAACTTGTATAAAATATCTGAATGAAAGTTATTATCATTAAGATAATAATATTTCGATAATATTCACATTGACACGAAATAACGAAGTTTTCTTCTTCTTCTTCTCCTTCATGTTACTTAAATTCTATTCTATTCTAAATAGATTCCTTTCATTCAAAAAAGTTCTGCTCTTTCTTCTTGATTAATTAATTCCTTCATATTTCTTTATATCACATTAATTTATGAATCATTATGTTATGATATGAAATTAGGTCAAAAAAAACAAGATGTAACAAATGTTATTGTAGTTCAATTAACTATACTCTGTAAACTTGATAAAACTTAAGATAAAAACGGTTAGTCCAGTTTGATAAAGTTCATAACAATTTGATTATCAACTGAAGAAGAATGCTATATGCAAAAGTAATTATACGAGTATGATGAATGATTGTTGAAAACAACAACAACAACAAAAGGAAAAAAGAAGTTAATCGTACCTGAAATCAATTAAGAAAACTTAATAACTCATTTATTCTATGGTAAAGTAATAATTAAATATTTTTTTAAAGAAATCAATAATATTGTAAATAACTATTTTAAATTCTTGATTCATTATGTGAAAAATTATTCATTTGCTTAAAGGTTTAACTAGACTTGTTTTTTTCTTCTTTATGTTGGAATTGGTTACTATGAGGATAGTTACTATCTTAGTTACTATCAGGATATTTATGTTGTTACCCATTAACTTACAGAATAGTTATGAATAAATAAGTCATGGAAGAAGGGCATGAAAAAAGTCAGTAAAAGAAAAAACACTAATGCATTACAATAACGAAATCATGATATATTTATTATATTCTATTGAGTAGAACATAAAATATTTGGGATTTTATGATTTGGTGTTTGTGTCTTTCACTAGGAACGAATAACTAGATTGAATTGACTCAAGTTTAAATATTATAATGAAATATATTAAGATATTTGCTGTGATCAGAACACGTTTGTTTATGTTGTTACATCATTTGTGTCAAAGGTGGGACAATATATATTTGTATTGATGTCCATCTGAATTGATATAAAGAATATGATATTTGTAATGTGAATGAGTAAAGATAATTCCCATTTTTGTCAGTAGTGTAGTATTCGAATAGATTAATTACGTTTGTCACGAGAAGTGGTCCACGTTGGATGGTTAGTTAGGAACTTCTTTCTCTTAGACATAGCACACTTTACCAATATGCGAAATATTACGGATTAAGCGTTCTCTACGAGCTCCGAAAGTTACGAATCTCCCTCCACCCAGTGTATGTGCACTACTGAAAAGTCCTAAGTTGGGACGAAACATCTGCGCAATCCTTACTGGTATTCAATGGTTGTCTAAATGAGATCCTTAATGTTAATCATAAAGTATATTGTTGTTTTATCATTACAACTAATCTAAATAACGATTAATTTATCTGAAATTATCATTTCAAAGCTTTGTACTTATAGCCACAAAAAAATGACAAATTATTTTTTATGATATCAAAATATAAAGATAAACATAAATTTTCTCTTTTAAAAAGGAAGTGATCCCAAAACATTCCGGAAAACTGTTCTTGTTTGAAAGTGTTCCGCTACTTGTAATATAACCAATGCATATTAGGTAGCTAAAATTGTTGTCTATTTGCAAAAAATATTTTCATGTTTAACAGGACTTTTTAAAGTGCTTATCATGCTATTTTAATCTCTAAAATGACTAAAAGGGGCATATATATCTAGATATTTTTGTACTATGTTTCTATCACATTGTATTCTTTTCAGTCACAATAGAAACCGATAAATATTTACAAAAGCATATTTCAAGGTCTTTGTATTGTGAATGGATTTTTATTTACTTAAATAAGCCAATTTTCATACAGCGAACAATAGCCATTTGTTGATGGTTCTTAAGTGGAAAAATGGTTCACTAATTCCTGAAAGAAGAATCCAAACACCTACCATGTTTTTTTCTTCATCCAATCAACAATTCTTCTTTGAATATTACTTATACTGTTATTTTATACTTATAATTATTCTCTTATTACAGGTTAAAAAAAGAGTTGGTGAATCAATTGAAATACTGGAAGCTTTAGCAACAGAAGATCGAGATTTAGAAAGACTTAATAAATTTCTTTATTCAAAATCATCAACTCAAATTCCGGTGAATTCGTTAAAACAACTTATTGCATGTAGCCTAATACATAGTCCATTTATCCGTTATTCAATTCAAGGTAATTTTTCTTATTGAAATTGAAATAAATGCGTTAAAGTCAAATAATCAGAACTGGTTTTGTGGAGATTTTAGAAATTTCACTGGTTGAAAGCATGAGTCGATTGAAGCTAGACCACCATGGAAAACCTGGAAGCACTGGACGGCCTTTTCGTTCTAGTATGGGACTCCTCAGCAGTGCGCACCAACGATCCCGCTCCCCGCGAGATTCGAGCCCAAGACCTATCAGTCTCGCGCCAGGCGCTTAACAATACCAGGACGAAACGGCCGTCCAGTGCTTCCATGTTTTCCATAGTGGTCTAGCTTCGATTGACTCATGCTTTCAACCAGTGAAAGTCAAATAAGATGAGAATGTTTTGGAATTAATTCTTAAGTGATTGAATACAAAATTACTTTTTGACTATTTATTAGAGTATAGATTTATAGAACCTATTTTGATAGCTTGAATAAATTTAGAATGAATCCAAACGATTTGAGAGCGGATAATCATTCTTCTTAATAAGATGTACATATTAAAAGTGACATCTTATTTAAAGTTTCAAGAATGCAACTTAAAATTAAACTATTTTCGTTTGAAAACAATCGATATTTTTGGTCTGTGTAATAGTTTTTGAATATATGAATTCCTTATTGAAATAAAAATTAACCTCCTAAGTACAATTTCGAATTCTGGTAGATAATTTTATAAGTTTTTTTTATTATGAATATAATAGGAACCATAAAATACAAATGGTTTGTACTTGGATATATCCCTTACTTGCTACCTATATGTTGCACTTATATCATATCATCAAATGATATGAGATTGGTAATATCCCACTGAATGTCAGCTTATCTTTTAGACGCAAACAACTAGATGCAAGGATTGTTGTTATTTATCTTGACTTCTTGACGGATTATTTGCTGACATAGTTATGTTTAGCCGAATCAAAATGATATAAATGTTTAACAGAAATCAGATTATTTTGTGAATTATCTTTAAAATGACTAACCTGTACAAACTTCGTATACTATTAGTAACTGGTAATTGTTTAGACGTAATAAAAAGTCAAATTTTTCAAAATTCACAGTACTACCAATCAAAGAAGAATGACGTTTGTTACTTAAAATCATCTTAAAAGAGGAGAAATAAGTGAAATTTTTAAATACATTTAACAGAGAATATGGACGAACCTTATAATCAGTTTGACTGATTTAATGTTTTCACCTCACTAATCTGTATAATCTTTATTGGGAAATATTATTTATAACTAAGTTACAAACCCAATTAATTTAAGAACGATTTTTTTAATATAAAACAGTCTTCAGTCTCTATTTACAACATATGTAATATGAAACGGCACCAAGTATTAGGTTGTACATGACAATAAGGCGACATAGAGATTAGACGATTATAAATCCGATAATAACAACAGTACTAAAAAAATGAAGCAGGAAGCAGTAGGTGAATTCAAAGCTAACATAGCCTTCAGTGGTTCTACATGTTGCAACCTAATATTTTTTAACAAATCGAATAAAATTAGCGCAAAACTAGTAAGGACTTTTATTTTGAGAATGAGAGTTGAAGGGTTTGTGTGATCCCTTTCAGTAAGTAGTCATATGCCAAGAAACAGTAAATGGACACATATCCTTTTCATTTCGTACACTAGTTCCTTTTTTCATTTTACCGAGGATAAAAGGGAGTATTTAGCGACGAGCATGAAACATACTGGCAAACTTGTGTAATACACAAACACTTTAACAAAGGCAGTGACTGAAGACGAAAATACTGACAGAGTGGTAGACACCGCTTCTTTCATTCACATTTACTGTATAACTGTGACAGTAGTGTCATGGATTAACGAAGTCATAAGATATCTACCACTTAAATTTGTACAATTATTTTAATTTAATAATCCACTCACCGAAACATGATTATCTAAAAGAGAACTCAACAACATTATTAAAGTTAATCTTTTTCCTTAATTTATTCATAAAACTAATTTTTAGCTTATTGTAATGAATTCATTAGTGAAATATCATAAAAAATGGTATCTTTCATAAGAATAACGCAACTTACTTATCACCAGCAATTACAGATCTTCAATATTTGTATGAAGATTTGTCTCCGTATGACAAACCAAAAGTATGGGAAAATTAACAAACACTAAATTGTTGTTTGATTTTTGTTTCACGAGCTCGTTATCACAGTATCAATTCCGTATCGGAAAATTAATTTCATTATCTTTATTCGATGAAGGGGTATACATAGCTCTATTTATAATCTGATCGAAGGCTTTGCGTGCATAAGCTTCACGTCCTATCTCTGTGTAACTTGACGAAGGGCAGTTATGCAAGCTATAATTTGTTAATTATTCCGACTCCCCATATCAATGATAAAGTAAGGAAGATGGGAATGTTACACCACGATTTAATAGTTGGATTGGTGGGTTAATTTAAGCAACACCATCATTGAAAACCCAGAAGCACTAAATGACCATCTCGTCATAGTATGATAATAATCAGCAGTGTGCATCCACCCTTCCTGCACACAAGACTCGAACCCAGGACCTTCGGTATCGTGCATAAACGCTTAGCTTCTAGACTACTGAGCCATCATCCAACGGTGTTAATGTCTAACTTCAACCAATCCACAATATTACGCGATCGTCCATCACTATCTTCAGCAAGTAACTGCCTCAAAACAGACATGGTTGAACTCCACTGATCACGGCTTCCAAATTAAATTATTACAATCTCCACAAACCCTCATTCTGATAACACCAAGATTTTTTATTTACTTCTAATATTAAATTGTATTTACTAATAAGTAGGATACTGCCTACGTATTTTTATCTCAGTACTTCAAAATTTATACCAATAAACACAACTTACCATTAATGAGGCACCAAACATTTACCTCTAGACCAAAAATGTCAGAAAAATAACTTAAACAACAATTTCGGGAGACAATATTTAGAATCATGGTTTTATTTTGTACGTAGTTTAGTCAATGGTAATGTGTATTATGTAACTCAGTTTTACAAGGAAGAGTGTAACTAAACACACTTCATTACTGTGCGAATCAACCTATATATTTTGAAGAAAATTTTTTGAAATGAAGTGTAATATTGAGACTTGTCTGGTGCAACACAAAATGAACAGTAATTTAGTAAGATTGTCGCTAAATAATATTGAAATGTGTTATACTACTGACAACTTTTAAGTAAGATCGTTTTTTACTTAAAATATATTGTAAATATTTTTTTCTCGAATATCTGTTATTAAGCTCTATTGGGAATGATGAACGATCGCCAATCATCAGGTCTACATCATAGTTTTGTGAATCCTCTTGATGCAGTCGTTGAGGAGAAGAATGATACTACAAACCATAGTTTCGCTTTAGATAAAGTTAGACAAACAAATTCAATACCCATCTATGCAAGTGTTCAGTTGAATTCTTCAAGGGGACAAACAAATCAAATTAGCTGCAAAACAACTGATTCACTATCATCTGCTGAAAACCTTCCTTCAAACGCCCACTGGCCATGTTCATCTGCTACAGTCACTACAGGGGATAATTTCTTTAATAAACCATGTCCACTAAGGTTGAAGGTGAGTCTTATGTAGTTAGTATTCCGAAGACAGTAATATTACTTTTATTTCTATATGTCAATCGTGAAGTCGCATAAATAACTTTAATATAACATACTCGTTGATCATCGTATTAAAAAATTAAATAATATGATATCTTCCATAGCCCAATGAATGTGTAGTTCTTGAATGACTGATAAGGACACCTAAAACGACACCCTATTATAAGACGTTCTGTAACATTCCTTCTAATAGTTTAGTGTAAATTAAACACGCTTCTTTGAGAATCAACAAAATGTTCGAGAAAACAACATTATTTATAACTGTTATCCAGGTCTTTTGAGCGCTTAAATTGTATTGGTTAATTAAGGTGGCAGATATTTGTTACTCGCACAATCAGTCGGAGATTTAATGATTCATTTAATTCGGAACCATTTTTATTCGATAAAGTGAAGTACATATTTTCAAATCCTGATTTGATAGGGCTATTTTGTTCTGAGTGAATTAAAATGAAAATAGAGAACTTAAAAACCATTCCGAATTAGAATTCACTTCACGAATAGTTTCGTAAACATTGTCTTTATCTAAAACCTAAATTGTTTAATATTGATAAGAAAGCACTTGTATATCACTGTACAGTGAAAGCGACACAGCATGAAAGCAAAGTCACACGAAGTGTGTGCTCATTGTGATACGGATTTTATCCAATAAGTATGTTAATGAAAATTTACTGTCTTTTCCCTTAGTTCATAGTATTTTTTCAATTAAACCAGGTTTTTATTTATACACCGAATAACAGTCAGTCTTGTGTCATTTAAATTGTTCAATAGTTTTAGGAATTTCATTGATTCGATTATCAGATTGCTGTCTTACAATGCTGTTTCGTCAACATTTTAGAAAATTTGTAAGAAAATATTGTGAAATCTATGTGCTATCGTTGTAAAAGGATAAAAACATTTGACATGCTTTAAAATAAATGGTAACGTTTAAAAAATGTAAACTGCTTTGCAGAGACTATGTTAGCTATTATTCATCATAGGAGCAGTTAGGGTCTGATCTGGAGATAATATAAAATTGAGCGCTATATTTCCCAACCATATTCAAACATAATGTTGAATAATGATGTATACACACTGGTAAAATGGCACGAAAAGCATAAAGTAACTTCAACAATGTCTAGAAATAATTAAGAGGGCAGAACTTCAAATTCGTACCCTTAATATGTTTATCAAAAGCATAATAATTTTGACGTAAATAATGTGTTATATTTCAAATTTTTTCCGCGTCTTGTACAGAAAAGATACCCATCTCTTCCAATAAACCAATACACAGTTAACGATGTCTGTGAGTTATTTTCAAGTATCGTTGACATTCATCCATCTCATATGCAATCTTATATATCCAAAATAAAACAACTAAATATAAATGGAATTGTACTCTCAGTATGTGATCTAGAGAATCTAAGACAAGAATTAATGATTGAAATAAGTGACTGGCAACTGATTTATAAACTGATAACTTGGTTACGATCATCATCTAATAATGGACACATAACTTTGTCTGAAAGTTCACAACAAAGACTAGGTGGTATTTCTTCAAATGAGTTTGATGTAAGCGACCTGCTAACTGGATATAACATGACTTTTAAAGGTAAATATCAGCAACCACAACAACAATTATCTAATCACACACTACTTACATCGATGCCATCTTTGAATTCTGAAAAAATGTCATGTACATCAGATCAGAAACCGAAAACATCTAATCCGTTTCTTGTTAGACAAACACCTTGGCTTGTTTCGCCAAAAATACCAATCACAAGCTTATCATCCAATGGTAAATCACTTGAACCATTTCAAGAATTCACTCTTGAACAGCGTCCTAGTCCAGATACTTCTGACCAACAGAATTCCTGTAGTGCTATGGAAGAACCAGAATCGTTATGGAAAACTGACGGTTTAATAAATGTTTCTGCAACTACGGATAAAACACCCGTCCCACATCCAAACATGTTGATTGGAAGCATTGAAAATTCGCATATAATCAATAATCCCAACCTGTTTTCACACCAGGAAGGCTTGAGTAAACCAAAAGAAGTAAAGAAAGCAAGTAAGCATCCGAACAATCATGAAGTTAATATCAATAAACCAGAAGTTAAAGTAACATCAGGACATTCCTTTCATAGAAGCATGCAAAACTCATTGCATTCTAATCGGTTCGTCAATAAAAATGGTTATGCCAGTCGTTCATCCATTGATTTAAGAACAGTTTTTGGTCCTGAACAAAAAAATCCACCGAATATAAATTTATTTAGCAATTACAGAATCATACATAATTCGAAGAGAAACCGCGTTAAAAAGGTTCTAATAGAACAGCATCGAAGGCAACAACTCAACAACGGCATCTTTTAACGCATAATCCTAATTTTAATTATTTTGTAGATCCAGAATTTTGTTCATCATTTGTGTGTCCATTAACAAAACGTAATGCGAATTTTTATAACCATGATTTATTCAATAATATAAATCATCCATTTGATCCAAACATACATAATATTAATGCCTCTAATTTGAGGCGCATCACTAAACAACCTCGTAGTAATTATGATTATCAAACTATCGAGAATAATACACCTGTATTAATTGCTAACGGTTATAACAATGGAAGTAGTATTAATAACAACGAGGATCACGTCAATAACATAACACCAAGCAAAATCCATATTAAACATTTAGAAGAATCATTGAATAACGTTGAATCTGAAACAGATGATACAGTTCAATCTTCGGACAATAAAAATTCCCAACTTAATTTTCTTAATCAAAACAAATCATTTTTAAATCATTTAAAATATTATCCTTCTTATAAGATTCATCCAAAAGCAATTTTCTCTTCACCAGCTTTAACACCAGCTCAGTTAACTAGTCTACAAGCTTATACTGAATGGTCAACAAAAATGAATCCATACTTTGCAAATGCAACAATTATGACTAACACAGGGTCTGTTATTCCAAATAATTCAACTAATGTTTGGCCTAGTTATCTGGAACAACATCAAGTAAATAAATTCCCTATATTTAAATCAACCACACACAAAACTTCCGATCACAAATCATTTAGACCAAGTCAAAAGAAAAGGCCAAGAAAAACAAATCCAGATGACAATGAATATATTATAAATACAAATAAAGAATTTCAACCTACTAATTTAACAAAAGATAATGTACATTCATTAAAATTATCATATGATTCAGATGCTGAATTGTGTACATGTGATTACTGGTATGAATTAGAAAAGGCAAAAGAAAAGTTTACAATTAGTGAACCATCTTTAAGAGCTGAATCAGATTTAATAAGTATAGATGATTTTGTTATTGATAATGATTATCAGTCAAGTGCTACAGAATCATTAAATTCAACCCATATATTACAAACAGACAAGAGTAAACTTTCAAAATAACATTCAATTAAATGATTACAGTAATAAAATTTTTAAAAAAAATCTTTGTATTATGTAACTTTTATCATGATACAATTTTTTTTAAAGAAATATGTTTTCATGTATAAAACAAATAAGCTGAGTTATACTGTTAAGTAGAATTACCGTTATCATTATCTATGTTGTTTAATTTTAATGAAGTTTCTACATTATTCACTTATACTGCTGAATTTGGTCTATAAGTAGTACAAATGTCCAATTTATCCATAGTATTCAGTTTAACAATCTCATTTAAGAAAACAGTACATATATGTATTAGAAATCATTACAAATGTATATCCCGAATAGGTTACAGATATATACAGATATATTACGAAACAATAACTACATTTAGTGAAACTGAATCATTATTTGCCTAATAATCAGGATATTAACATATAAATGATAATAATTGTTAATACTATCTTACAGTACAGTATTGAATCATTAATATCTTCACAAAAATTAATTTGTTTCAATAAACCATTATTTTTTACAAAGAGTTCATATGTAATAATCTGTTATAAACAGTATAAAGATCTATCATATACTCACTCAATTAATCAAGTAATACATGTCTTTGTAATCCATTCAAATGGATAGCAGGAAAATAAAAACTTATATATGTTTGTGTATTTTTTGAAAGTTTTGTTGTCAACTTACAAATCAATTGAATATCTTTGTCATTAAGTTATGAAGTTTATTTTTCATTCTTTGTAACACATGTAATTTATCATGATAGCCATGTTTTTATCCTGGGTTTTTTTTCTTTTTTTTTGTGATTGTGATTAGTAAAACTGATATATTTCCTTCTGTTCATTTTTATTGCATTTACTTATGATTTTATGTCTTCTTCGGAATTTTAGTTATTATTATTCATATACCACATACCATCAACAAAATATCCGCCATAATTCTTATTAGACGGTTTATTTTCCTCGTACCTGTGTTTTATTTTTTATAAATCAATACGGTTTTTTTTTGTACAAATGTAAGTAAATATATTGTGAACATTATAATTATAAATACCATGTAAATTTGTTGTGAATAATGGCTTGTTTACTACATATTTTTACCACCAAACATATTTAGCGTATCATAAAAGATGTGAAGATTTGTCTTTAAAGTTTCACATTAATTGTGAACAAATTTCCAGTGAAATCCAGTCTCTGTTTGCAGAAAGAGTATTGAATATTTAATGATTAGCTTTATCATATAATCACTGAGGCATGAGTATACCATAAGTATATTATTCAGAATTAATGATTAAAATACAAGACTTTTCGTTACATCATTTACACCAACAGATTTGAAGAGGTTGTCATGGTGAATCATATGAGTATTACTATAAGAATCTTAGACACTCACGTACCATGTTAAACATTCACAAATTTAATTTTATATAAACATACATAATAATAAGCACTTTTCACAACATAATACTCTAGTGCAGACAGAAACTGAATAAATGAATACATTCATAGTGTAAGTCATAACGAAAAGCAAATGTGAATTGTTGTTAGTCAGGTGAACTTAATGGCAAAATTGGTAGTAACTAGACAAATATTAATGGAATAATCATAAATTTAGCATGATAATTAAAACAATGAAAGTAACAACAATACTGCAAGAACAAAAAGACGTCTGGAACAGCGCAAATACTTTGATAATTAAATTCTTAAAGGAGATAATGACCATAAAAATAATCATTAAATTTAAAAAACTTGATCTGTCCTTGTTTACAATATCTGCGAAAGTCGTTCACATTGTCCTGATCACCATATTATCTAATATGTATCTTATTTTCTGGAGTTGCTTGGTTTAGGCTGATACTTTCTTTTAGCACTAGAAAGCAACTGATCTAAAGGCCTAGTGTTGTCTGCATCTTCAATCTGTCGATTATATTTTCATATAAAATAAGATTTAACATTCTGTTGCATATAACAACCACTGGTACACTAATTTCCCCTCAAAACTATTTTTATCATCAAGGAGATAAATTATGTCAAACATATCTACCAATGAAACATTCAGCAATAAAGACACTATTTTGTGCCTTTGAATTTGACTACAATTAGATCGTATGAATGGTTGTTATTGAATGATTGCTATCGAGGTAAATGTCATCGATCCTCGTATAAAATAATCGACTCAAATCGCATTAGTGAGTAACAGAATTAAATAAGTCGTATACAAGAAAGGATTTTTGAATGTATATCATTTTTACGCTCATTGATATGGACGGACAATCTTAAGGACGAAGCGAAGAAAGCGAAGTGAAATGACGTGCAGTGAGGACGTGTAAGCAACCGTGAATCAATATTTATAATCCCACAAAAATAAGTTACAGATACGTGATGAATAGGATAAGATGTACACACATATAAAAACAGTCAAGGTTGATAAGTATATGATTAACAAGGTCAAAATGTGACTGTCCAGAACCTAGAATAAGCTATGTGGGCTTGACATAGCAACCAGCAATACAGCTATGTCAATGAAAACTATATGCCTTGTCTTTAAATTGATGAACTTAATGTCATTTTGTTTCTAATAGACTCATTAAAATAAGCCAGCTGTGAAGACAGCTCGTGGTATGGGAAGTTATTCAAAAATGTTGTCAAAGGTAAATTCTTGGAAGATTTTGGTTGGGCATAAAAACTTGCATTTCAAAGTCTCAATGTTTTTAAAATGTTCTTTTGTTTTATTAATTCACTAGTAACCTAACAAGTATTCTGCTCCATTTACATTAGTACAACTTTATCATGAACACTTTGGTTTAAGGTATTTATTAATATATCTTTTTTTCATTTTTACAGACAGATAAATAAATAGTCCTGTATCTTTAAGATTTTTACATCAGAACCGATGTTAAATCATCGTAGGGGCCGTTTTGTTAGATTTTAAAAGATCATTATTAACTTTCTTACCGTTATTCGGTAATGTACTTTATTACTTTATGTTACAGATTTCATAGCTACTTCAAATAACTTGGTCATTGGGTAGAAGGTTAGTGTTTCCTGAATTAGTGCAAGCCACTTCTTTAGAGTAAACAAATAACCTAATTATATTAACATAAGCTCAAACAGTGTATTTATTTAAGCTTAAGCTAAGTGACAAAACATACCTGCTTTTAAGGCAGACTGTGTGGCAAAATGATTAATGTGATTCAACGCATGATCAAAAGTGTTTAGTGAAACTAGATAATATTTTCCCTTCGTAACTATTACTCTGAATGTCAACCCCAATTTTCTTTAGTTTTTAAGCAGAAGGATGACAAAGAATTACATCATAGCTGAGGTCAGTTTCTGAGGAAAACACTACCCTTAACTTACAAACCCATTTCAGAATCTTAGCTCATGTTATAATATTTAACCATAACGTTTCTATATTATCGCTGGTGTTAGTTAGTGACAAAACTCTATAGGATGATAACCCCAACGCACAACACAAACCCAACTCCTTATATGTAGACTTGATCTTTTCTCTTTATTATAAAGAATAATTCGACTTGTGAGAGCTGATTATTAAGATCAAAACTATTATTCCACTGTTATTTTATTATTCTAAGTATCTATTGTTTTGTACCTACAGTGTTTCCTTATTGGCTAACAAGTTCCTCGAGGCCGTCAGTATATAATACTTTTACCCATTACTTTGGTCGGTTCATAATTTTAGTGAGTTTCAAAATAGTTAGAAATCACTTCACTATAGTACAAGAAAAATTCGTCAAGTCAGAAATACGTACTACTGAGAAATCTAATTTTTGTAACTTTGACAAACTAAGTAATCCAGATGTGATATATACTGCTTATGTCAACAGGCATAGTTAAATAAATTAAATAAATAGACATTATAGGTAGTCAGGTTCTCATTGATTTAACATTCTCGTATAAGTTAACTGGCATCATATATTGACGATCTGTTAAGATCTGTTAGAATTATACTCAACTTAATACTGAAATCTTTCTGATTACTTAGTTTCTGGTTTCTTCATTTTGTCATATTAGATGTTACGGACTTTTTTAGTATAGTAACTTTTTACGGGAGGAGAAGTAAACCTAACTCAACTTTGCAATCATCAAAATATTATATTACGGAAGCATATTAATAGCGACTTGTTGTTCTTTGTTAAACTGCATTTGTAATTATATTTGTTATTCTTATATTACTAACAGCAGTCAGTTGGATTTGACCTGAAATGATTTACTTCTATATTGAAATATGATAACATATCTTCAACTAAATCATGTAGACTTTTTAATAGGGAACATTCTTCTTTATCTGTGTGTTTCCCTGATAAACCATTAAACAATGTGGTTACAAAAGTAGTGTACTGTAATCATACACACATTACGAATGGTTGAAGTGATTTCGATTGCGTATTCAGATGTTTGATGTGTCTATTCATAATTTATGCACTCAGTAAACTGAGGATTATGTGGAAAATCTTTGTCTTCACATGCTACGTCATTTGATCTAAGCACTGAACAGATAAATTATTCAGATCCTTCCAAATATCTCATTATTCGCATCATTAGCCTTGCCAATTACACACATGTAGTCTTCATCATGTTTTATTCTTTCGTGTATTCTAGTATGTAAATATCTCTGTACCAACTTGAGTCTCATTCGTGCATATAAAACTGAATGACATATTACTCACTAAGTTGGCTATTTCTACCACTCCAGTTCAAATTCTTGTTTTTGTCGTTTGTCTTTGTCATGCGTTATTAAAGTCAAAAACTTATATTCCTCAAATATTTTCATAATTAACTTGTAAATATACCAGAAGGGTTTGTGGAGATTTTAGAAATTTCACAGATTGAAATCATGAGTCATTTGAAGCTAGACCACCATGGAAAACCTTGAAGCACTGGACGGCCGTTTCGTCCTAGTATGGGACTCCTCAGCAGTGCGCATTCACGATCACGCACCCCACCGTCCAGTGCTTCCAGGTTTTCCATGGTGATCAAGCTTCA